TTTCTTTCCTTCCTTCCTTCCTTCCTTCCTTCCTTCCTTCCTTCCTTCCTTCCTTCCTTCCTTCCTTATAATGGGTTTTCCTTCTTTTTTCTTTCTTTTTTTCTTCTTTTTTTTTTTTTTTTTTTAACTTCTTCAATGTGACTCTTTCTGTCTGGCTGGAAAAAACATATTTGTATTTTTCAAAAGAACAGTGTCTCAACTCATATATATACCTTCATTCATTCATTCATATATTCATGTCTTCAAAAGTACTTACTATGGACCAGGAGTTTTTTTAGTTGCTAGGGATGTGTCAGTGAGCAAAACTGACAGATGTCTCTGACATCCTGAAGCTTACATACCAAAGTATGGTGACAGAATATAAATCTGCAGAAAATATATAATAGACCAGATGGTAAGCAGACCAAGTAGCAGAGTAAAGCAATGCCACCTTGGGTATAAGGAAAAGTTGTACTCTTAAATAAAGTGATAAAGGAAAATAAACTTGTAGTAGATAAAGGAACCAGACCATGTGATTGTGTGTATATGCAAGAATGTGTATAGTGGGGGTACTTATTCCAGAAAGAGGGAAGGACAATGTCAAAGGCACTGAGCTAAAAATATTTGTTTTCCTACTTGATTACTTCTAACCAATGACACCCTCATATCCACCCTGCTCCCCACTTTCTTTTCTCCCTCCTTTCAATCAAGTCTTCATTTCACAAACATCTACTGATCATTTGTTATGTGCATTGTACTAGTTACTGAAATACCAAAAATGAATAAAATGTCATCCCTTAGCAGATTCAAGGTCTAGAGGAATATATAAGTAAATATCAGTTCACTCTTGCTTAAAGCTTTCCTATAATTTGTTTCTTAAATTATTTTGAGGTAGCCATATATTTCTTTCCTATCACCCAACACTCCTAAGAATATTTGAACTGGAAAGCTATTCTAGTCATTTAATTATTTCTATATGTTTAATTATTTGGAAGCCTTCTGCCTCTAAGATGGAGGTTTAGTCACTTTGAGCTCATTTGACAATGTATAGAAAGTCCAAAGCTCTTTGAGCAGGGTTGTAGCTCTAGTTTCTGCCAGATTTGCTGATCCAAGAGCCATTTTTCTGTCTCTGACCTGCTGTCCCCATTCTGCATCTCTTGCACCTTGCAGTCGATTCTCTCCTGGTCTCTCACCCC